TAATAAATAAATTTATAATTCAAAAAAAAAATTTTTTTTGCCAACTAGATACATACGTGAAATTAACAAGATTTCTTTCCATGGCACCTAAAACAGCATCCAAGAAATTACTGTGGTGGGTATAATCACCATCTTCAAAAGCTTTCTTTTCATTGATATCCATTGGTATTCCACATTCACCAATTATACAAGGTTTTTCACCAACACGTTGTAACCCATGTTTCATAATGTTACGTACTTGACCTGTATAATTTTTTTTTGCTCCAGAAATTCCAAAATAAGTGGCAGAAACAATATGTTGAGCTCCCTAAATGAATAAATGAATTGATTTGATCGATCATTAAAAAATATTTTACTTGAAAAAGATTTTATTTTGATAATAAAGATAATATTATACCTTAGTAAGCCGTTGTACATCATGAGTTATCATACCGTTAAATGTTTTATTAAATAGAGATTTTAAGTCGTACCAATGTGGTGCATATATTATATTTTCATGATGATCGTGTTCTGTCCAAGTTGGTGGTGGCTATTCAAATAATTATCATGTATTTAATAACATATTAAAATTAATATTAATACATAAATATATGCAAAATACCTCATTAGGAAGTGGCTCAACGAATACATAATAATCCTTTTTGACACTTTGAATACCTTCCGAATACTTTTTAACAAAAGGTAAATAGAAATCTTTATAATAATCTAATTTTTTACCGGTGTTTGGATGATGAGTGAAATAATCCTTTCTCAAGATTTTTGGATTACCAGTTGCACTGTCAACATCCCAGACGCCATGTTGACGCCAGATACATTCACCGTTAAGCCAAGCAGAATCACGTTCCTTGTTAAGTATATGAGTGCTATCTTTTTTTGTGGGATATGGCCATGACTTTACCCAAACCTCGATCTCTTGAGGTATACCATATCCTAATGCAAATGATTGTAATGCAGAAGGAGAATCACCAAATACTAATGTTGTAGTGCCATCGTATTTGTTCATATCAGCAAGACCAATGTATCCTTGACTTTTTATGAGAATTTTGTTTTTTTTAGAATTAGAAATTAAATCATTAAAAGAATTGTAAATCATTTTAATTATGAATCATTTATTATTATTATTTCTCTTACTGAGGTTCGTTAATCAATTCGAATCCTACGACCGCTTCTAAATGTTGAAGTCGCCTATAATAATAATTAAATCAATCGAATTATTGTTTAATTAATTGTTTGTACATTTTTGTTAACCTTTTCGTTGATTTGGAAACAATATATTTACAATCAATCAATACTTATAATTATCATATATTTTTACCTTGCCAAATTCTTGTAACAATTAACGAATTTTTCTTGTAAGAAGTCCTTTATATTTACACCTTCATAAAGAGTATTTGGAGCAAAGACATCACCTCCCCAGAATAATGTGAACATAGTGCTGCTGGCCAATTTAGTATAATTAGTTGGCCAGACCATTGGTAAGGAAGAGCCGTCTGGTTTGTGATTTGTGTTGTGAACATAAGCAGCACCCGTTGATTTGAATTTTGTCATGTCAAGTCCAGCAACTTCAAAAGTCCAACCAGGAGCACCAGATCCACCAGAAAAACGCGACCACTGAGTTTTCAAGAATATATATAATTAAGTCATTTAATTTTGTATTTATAAATTTCAAGTTTTTATTTTATATAAACTTACACAATCTTGATGTGGATCTATAAAACATTTGATGCCATACCGAGACATTTTTTCTATAACAAAAATTAAATAATCGATGAATTCTTCATCATATATGCCACTAAAACATAAATACAAATATATAGATATGTGTATGATTTATAATTAGATTTTATTCAAATAATTAATTAATCAAAAAAAAAAAGTTTTTTTCCTTTTGATTATTAGAACACTTACGGTCCAGAATGTTCCAAAGATTCCCATGTCACCAACAACCTAACAAAAGTTAAACCCCATGTTCTTAATCTAGCAAAATGTTGGTCTACCTCTTCACGTGGAAAAGGTCTGCCAATAAATGAAACATTTCGATGGTCAAAAAATCCTTCGGATAAATGACTTGAACCATCCGGTTTAGTAGGTAATTTTGAGTTACCACATAAGTTAACACCACGTAATAGACAAGTTCTGCCCTGATCATCTTTAAACCAACGACCATCTGCACGAATATTACCGCAAGAAAACCAGTTTTGTGCCAAGGAACCGGACTCGCCAAGAGCCAATCTATTTTCATCAAGAATAGATTTTATAGCTGCGAGTTTCTGATTGTCTTCTAAGAAGGGAGAAGGAGTTTCGGGTGGAGAAGATGACGCGTAAGAGCTTATGGAGGAATTGGAAGCCGAACGTTTTAGTTCGGGGGCTTTAAGATGTGAGTGAGTGGGACGGAATTCTAACAATTGAGAGGCGTCTTCATCACTTGTTTTACTTGTTTGAGATCTTTCATCTGAAGAATCACAATCAGACAAATTGTCTGAATCTATTGTTATCGCTGGATTAACTTGAGTCATTTTATTTACTTGATATTATGTAAAATTATATTTTAACAATGCGATGTTTAAAATGATGATAATAATTGTAATTATAAATATAAATGTAGTTTATAATGAATGATAATGGAAAGAATTTAAATTAATTGGTATTTTTTTTAATGAAAGAATATAATTTAGAAAATAAAAAATAGTAAACAAAATTTAATTTTTTTATATTTTATATTTTGTAACAGTAACTAAAAATAAAAAATAAAATAAAAAAATCGAGATTTTTGATTGGTTTATTTTAAGAATGCAAAATATAAATAAACACAAAATGGAAAATGATTTCTGCAGTGACTACTTTGTAGCATGATTAACCGTAAATTTGGGCATTGCTATGTTGGTGGTTCAAGGAAAAAAATATAAATATTGCGCGGCATTTTACGTTTCTATGAAAATTTAGACATATATATATAAAAAACTTTTTTTATTTTATGGGAAACTTTATTTTTTTGATATAATAATTATGAATCTGATTTTTCCCAAAGCTGATATTACTATTGCATATTGTCATGTGCGATTTTTTTTTTTTTATTTAAAACAACAAAATAAACTGTTTTTTTTAAAAAAATTTTCGAATAAATTTGTTTGTTAAACGTCACACTCGTACCACCAATATTTACTTTCTTGACTGATTTCGCTCAAATAATAAATATCACTAACAAATCAACTTTCTACATCAAAAGCTAGCTTCCGGGCTTTGTGAGAAAACCATTCCCCAAAGGGCTTGTTAGGTATTCTATTTAAGGTAAGCACACATCCTGGCATTGGAGCATGTGTATATTTTGCCCACCCAGAAACATTACAACTAACTTCGTTTTGGGATTTTGGGATTTCAAAATACACAAGGTGGCTGCTAAATTAATATTATCGGGAAATTTAAAATACCTTCTTTTATTTTTTGTTATAATTGGTTTATGATGACGATACCATTTGAGATCATAATTTCTTGAGAATCGCTTATTGTTATTATGTGGTTGATCTGTTGATTATACTAAATACTAATATATACTATTATATGAAATAATAACCTTCCTTATCTGTCATGTGATCTTAGTTGAATTGAGGCAAATAAATGATTGGTCTCGAGCGAAAAAAATTGGAATAATTCATAATGATAATGGTAATTATTATTTGATATCAATCTTTACTTTTTTTAAAACTTTTGTATCACTTGATAAACTTAAACTGTCCAACGTATTATTCTTGTGGCGAAGTGAAAAAGCCAAGTTTATTTAATTTATCCTTCTATTATACTGGCTTCTCATTTATATGCATGTGAGTCAAACTTAATTCCTTTTTCACCCAAAATATACATATACATATCAAGTGATTGAGTCATGTGATTTATAATATTGCGACATATCAATGATAACAAACGAATAATTCTCAAATTCTAAAAAATAAAATAAAACGAATTACTAATAATAATAATAATATTAATATTAATCATATTTCTAAATAATGATTTTGCTCCACCACGTAAATCAAAACTTGTGGTTTCATGCACTAATAATTCTTCAAATAAAATTATTTATTTTTTATCCAAAATGTAACCTTAATCTTGTTTTAATTAAAGATTCAAGTCTCTTCTAAATGTATAAAATAAAGGCAAAATTTTCTTTATTGATTTTTTTAAAATTGATAAAAAATAAATATCTTCTAATACTACATAATTAATGGTTTCTTTAATTTCTTTAAATTCTACAAAATTATAAATGTCTCTTCCACAAAATGTATAAATATTACTGTTGAGTTATGTTTGTTGAAACGAACCAATCTCGACCAAAGGATATTGAATTAGCACAAACCAAGTTGGTGATATATTGAAAGAGTGTAATAGATGTACCCAAATTCTCATTTTAAAAAAGCATATACTTCTCCTGTTACTAAATGTTGAAGATGCTTTAATTTTATGATCCAGAAAGCACGTGAATGTAATGTAACGATTACAGGTAGCGTTATTCAATAAAATTTGCAGAATTATTAGACAACAATACCTTTGAAGCATTGTCTGCTTGGTTTGATAAATTCAAGTAGAAAAAGAATAAACACGGGGAATCTAAAATGTACCTATCTAACAGATTCCTGGAACGAGAGAAGAATTGAAAGATATTCATAAAAATCGTAGAAATTTAATCGTAATGAGATAGATCTTTATTGGAAAATGAAACCAACTCATGGATTATCAACAGCCTCCATTCCAGGCTTAAAATCGAATTGTAGCACAAATGGTACTGAAAAGCTATTTCCTTTATTGGAACAGTAAAGCATGGATAAAATGCGCACTGCATATAAGAAAATATCAATATTATTACATATTTTAACGGATAATTCAACAAATGTAAAAATTCATCACTTGCCTCTAAACATAATCGCGCACCTGCAACCATGCAATATCATTGTTTTTTAGGGCATGTATTAAATTATTTAATTGATATTAGAAGAGCAATAAATTTTATGGAACCATCACTATTAATAATTGCTGGTATTATTCCTTTAGATAATGAAGAGCAAGTTGGAGACTAACACAAAATATTGTAAACGATCAAAGAGATGATATTGATAACTTAATTGATAGACTAATTTCAGTTCAGCATTAACAGGAGGATGAAATTAATGAGGAAATTCTTGATTCTTTGGATCAAATTGAAGAGGAAGATGTTATTGTAAGTAGTACAACCATTCCTATTACTATTGTTTCAATAAATGAAACTGCTGCTCTTAACTCTCTTGGACAAAATAATGCACAAATAGATAGTGATGAATCAAAAGATTTTTTTTTAGAAAAAATAGAATCATATAGTATATATTCAAATTTCGATACAAACTAACATTACTTGTTTTTCAGTTGAATAATTGAAGGATTTTGAAGAATGAATAAGGAGAAAAATTGCCTCGTATGTTTTCAAAATACTCTGATGCTAAAAGATTACCTATGGACTTTATCAAGAAGTATATAGGAAAATCGTAACTGACAAAAAATATTATACAAAACCGTAGAATAACTTAGGAAAAAAAAACAAAAAGTAGAAGAGTAACCTATTTCAAATTGAATTATCAGCATTATTCCTAACAAATCAGATTTTATAGAAAAAAATTATATTCTACATATATCTGCAGTCTGTACGTGAATTGCGCGCTTACTCCCCACAATTGTGTTTTTATTTATCTTGTGTTAATAAAGATATTTTTTTAAAAAAATTAGAGGTGTAAACACGCAAGTATGACATCAACATTTACTTTATTTTTTTGATCTCGTGTTTCAAATATTGAACATTAATGTCTAATGTTATATTAAATATTAACAACGCTTTGTTTTTGTAAACAAAGAAACCAACGTAAAATCGTGAATGTTTTCATAATTTCAACCTAGTTGAAATTAAACCGTTACAATACAATCATAATAACTATTACTAATTTTTCTTTTTTTATAACACGGAAAAAAAATCAAAACGCATTTTTTAGTGTCACGCATAGGCAAGTCAATGTTGGTATGTAGAGCAACTTTAACATACATACGAGTTGTGCTAACTTGATGTTTTTTCGAAATTTATTAAATGCACTTGAGATGACTTTAGTATCTTAGTTTGAAACCAAATAGCTAATCAATGAAAGTGAGAAAAATAGAAAACAAAAGAATGCCGAAATTCCTTTATTGTTTTATTGTTGATAAAGTTGTTCTTTATATAATGCAAATTTTATTTTTCAATTTTAAAAGATTATCACCAAATAATAATAATGTTGCGAGAAAATTGTTTGTTACACATTATTCTAAAGAAAAAAGGAAATAATGTAACTGTTATTTTAAAAAAACCTCTCGTTTTCCCCACTCTATTCATTAAAACATCAATTCAAATTTATATTTCATATTTTTTATAATGTCATTTGTTAAATTATTATCACCATCACCACTAGAAAGAAAAAAATTTGTATTAAAAATTTATATTGAAATACATAATAATGCTAATGTTAATTCTGATAAAGAAAATAGAAAAGATTATTTTTTTCATTGGTCAAAGAAAACAAGGAACTTTCTGAAAAAGAAAAAGAATTTTCTAGGCAAAGGTTTATTTATAGCTTTGAATCTAAAAATGTAAAAAATAAAGAGGGAGAACCGAAAGAATGCAGCAAGTGCAAATTGACAAGATACTCTGATAGATTCTGTGAAGGTTGTATCAGTTTACGATTACAGAGTCTTTTCACCACTTGGACATCTGGAAATAAGATAATTGATGATTTTATTCAACAAAGTCAAATCAAATCATCTCTGCCAAACTATAGTTCTTGACAGCATAGGAATGGAACGCCATTTTGGTTCAGCTTTGGCGGAAAGAGTCTTTTCTATGCTAGAAAATCAAAAAATTAATGCCAACAATTCTGAAGTTGATGAATCCTATGGAATTGGAACTTCAAATAATATGGTTAAAGAACAACGAAATAGTCTAACCAATATTCACGGGTGGAATGATTTAAAACGTCGCATTAGTAAAATTCCCAAAAATTTGAAAGATCGTTTCGAATCGTAGAAATTAATTTATGAATATGATATGTATAAACTATCTCCGTATAAATCACCATGATTACAATTATAAAATTATATACTTTTAATAATATTTATTAATTACGTTCGAATTGCTTCGTGAGATCACTGAACGCTTGTATGAGATTATGTAAGAATATAATTCTTACTATTGCGTGAAATATATAATTCTGTTTTTACCATATGGAAAGCACCCAATATTTTATCTGAAAGGACATCTTTTTGTATTTGTATGGGGAAATTTATGGAAAAATTATGGAATTTTACGGAAAATATAAATTCCATACTAATACTAATACTAATATTAATACATTTCCTATATGTTTCCGTGCATTTTCGGTATATTTTAGAACAAAAGTAACATTTTTCATACAAAAAGATATGAAAAAGCGCTCTTTTCATGTAAAATTCTGGGGCATTTTCCGTGCCTCCTCCATATATTTTTCATGCAAAATTTTATAGGGATAGCAACAAAGAAAATTTTATGTGTGAAAAATTATAGGGAATATATATACATGTTATTATTAGACATATATGTATGTGGTGGCGGTGACTATTATAGCTATCCTGGTTTACAATATACAAATATATTTACAAATGACTAGAGAATTAATTGATTTTTTAAGGACAAATGCAATGTTTTAACACGAAAGTTTTAAATAATATTATTGTATTACTCAGAGAATGTTTTATACAAATCAGATTTCATTTGGAGTTGTCAACACATCGTAATCCAAGGTATTGTATTATATAATAAATAGCCATTTAAAAATGTTGTCAAAAAAATATTTTTTATAATAAATTGCGAATCCTTTACCTGTTACCTTCGTAAGCTTCTATGAATAAATAATCAGAATTCTTGTTCGCTTATTAGGAGACGACTTGATAAACACACATTGGTGTTTTCTTTTCTTTTTAATTATATGCTAGAGCCGTAAGCTGTTATCGTGACCGAATAATTGGCTACTCCCAGAAGTATAGTCACACTTGTCTATTTGCATGCCGTATATTTGCATAATCTGTTCATTTGCATAAATATAGCTCAGTTCCATATCAGGACTTATAAACTACTTGCATAATGTAAGCATGCATATGCATCAAAAGTGATCCTGATACTACTAAGTCCCACAAACTTATGTATATTATAAAAAGAAAGATCAATACGACATTTTTATTTATTTTTCATCCAAAAAAATCATTAATAGTACTTTGTTTCATGGAATCAGAATAATCTTTTTAATAGTATTATTTACACTAGTTAACTTTTTAATTTCATTCGAACAATTTTTAGGCTGCTGTAAAAAAAATGTCAATGAATCATCAGGAATGTTAAACAATTTTGCAAATAACTTGGCTTTCTCGGTTACTATCAGGCCTATGGGAGGAATACGACCTTGTGACATTACGGGACTTTTTTTACAATGGTTTTTGTAGTGGTTTTGTTTCATTACCTAAATACTCAAATGAACATTTTAATGTTTAGAAATAGTTACTGATCAACTTTTACACCAAATTCTTGTTCACACCAATCAATTAATTCTTTTTGGATTATTTTTTGATCATCTTGCTTTTCAGACAGATTTTATAAACGTTGATGATTGTTTATTTAACCTTTTTCATTGTAAATATAAAGGACAAAGTATGGTATTCAAAAATTTTATTAATATTATTTAATCACGACACTATAATTTTTTACATGTAATTTGTATCATGTGATTTCATGTTAACAATCATGTGATAACATGAACATTATTTCATAAAAATTCATTTGTCCCAACAGTATGCAAATAGACAGGTACGAATGTATCAATAAAACGAGTAGAACTCACGAGTTAAATAGTCTTACAAGCTATTTTGGACTGAGTCGCAAAAGTGGTTTGCCACCTACAAAAATATACATTTGGGTTGTAAGTGGCAAACTATAGAACAATTATATAGAAAATAGTATAAATTATCCACCATTAATGCGGGGCACAAAAAAATCAATTTAGAGACGGAATTAATTTTTGTTTGTTGGTTTATAAATAAATTATAACAACGTGTTAAATGGATTGGTCAATTGTGTTCGGATTAATTGTATTAATTGTAGTACTAATAAAAAACTATATATATATAAAGTCAATAAAAATCTAATAAAAATTAAAAAATGGATAATAATTATAATAACAATAATATTGATATTTTTAACATTAATAATAAATACGATGACTGTGATGACAGTATTAATGACCAAAACACTGTTACTTCTCATTTGAATATTATTAATCAATACCCGGTCGCTAATAATCTAGTTACAAGTAATCAAAACGTCAACGACGATAATCAAGTCCATCGAAACATGATTTAGATTTATAAACAACATATTAATCAAAATTCTGGAGAAATATATCGAAACGTCGATAATAATAATTACATGGCTCATCAAAACCTTGAAGACATTTATAAAAACGCTTGCAATGATGATTACATTCGTCAAACCACGATTTATAATTATCAAAATAATTTCGTTACCGAACCGAACTCAGCTAATATCACGAGTATTAATCGTCAGAATTCTGTTGATTGCGATTTCATTAATCAAAATAATTCAAACAATCATCAAAATTATACTGTCGTCAATAATTTCGCCGACAACAATTTGACCAGAGACCAGAAATTAATTTACATCACATCCCTACTTCAAAATATCCAAAATGTTGTAAATCAATTGCTGGATAACAATAACTGATAGGTTAGTATCAATGTTAAAAGGCAATATCGATTAAATAACAACATTGATAATGATATCAATTAATTAATTTATTTATTTATTATGTTTAGTCATTTTTACACAGGTGAGAAAATCAAATTTTACTTGGAATGTAAATTTTAACTTTTTATATTTCTATTTTCTTTTCGGGTTGTTATTATTGTTATGTTTCTTTTATTTGTTACACAGTATTCTTTACTATTTTAGTCAATTTAGAAATTACGCACTAGTACTAGTATGAATAAAGAATTATTAAATATGTATGTATATCAAAATAAATGAAATGTGACTTAAACCCCCCTCCTCTTCATATCTCTGTAATCCAGCAGAATGCATCTGATTTAATCTGTGGTATTCTTTTAGAGCAGTAGTAGGGACTTTTATCTGCTCGATAATTACATTGTGGAATAAATATTCAGAAGATCTACTAAACATCTTGAATCCCAAACAACAACCAAATCCTATCTCATTCCACCTCGCCACATTAGTTTTTGTACCGTTTTTTACTGATCTAATTGTGAATAAGATCAAGACGTTTTTTTTTTGTTATACGTTCGTGAACAAAAAAGGATGAGCCTTCACAGTCCAAAAATTCAACAAACACAAAGATGCTATTATGTATTTGTTAAAGATGGTGGTGTCATATACTTCAAGAGTTCAATTCCCCTTCAAATTTATTTTTCATCGAACAATTGGTTTAACTCTAACATCCATTTCAACTCTCAGATATTTTCTCCTGCAAAGCATGCGTTGCTCTTAGTATATATGTGTGCCTCTTGGGCAAGTAATTTCGTGGATAAGAATGCCTTTATTACTGACAAATCTATAATCAAAGAATATAAAAGATTAGAAAAAAGGCCTTTACAAATATAACAATAGATAAATTATTCATTTTCCAATAATTAAAAAATAATATTTTCCTTCCTTTTTTTTTTAACCATAGTTTAAAAAAAAATTTCACGTGTCATAAAGCATTCCTCTAAATAATTTCGAAAAATTATTATAGAAATTTGGATCAACTCTAAGTTCTCGCTTGAAAGAGCAGAGGAAAAATAAATACACGTTTATTTTCTTTAGAGAGCAAGCAAAGGTTAAACTAACATTGATTAGTTGGTGAGTGTTAGTGATGGTTGGTAAAGTACTGTCCAAGATTTAATTGGTAATGTTATTGTAATCGTAAATGTAAAATAATGACCAAGAAACACAACAAATGAAATAAATCGATCATAAGAAAACTTTATAGAAGCCCTTTAGCTTTGTAAAGGACCATCTTTATTTATTTAAAGTTACCTGGCATCATTAAGTATGCTCACACAAGTTTGTCTAGGTGCAGTAATCGAGAACCAAAGTAAATTCGTAAACAAATTAATTGACAAGCGCCAAATTATTGTGAATTGCTTGCAATTAATTAACTGGCAAGAGTAGCCAAAGTTAAGTCATAATCAGCCATGTTTGTTAAATAATCAGTATTAATTGAAATGATACCTCACAATATCACCATTTAGCAAGAATAAAAAAAAAACTGTGAAAGTTTATTATTATTATAATTTAGTTTTAAGAAATAAAATAAAGATAAAATAAAAAATATAATGAATAAATAATTTATAGTAGGAGGTTAAATCAGCCATTCATCAATCCTTTCCTCGCTAGAATCTAATTAATTAAAAAATATTGTTGGTAATAATTAATGGATAGTAATTTCCAAATTAATTAATAATTATTCACCTTCAACGTTTAAGAGAAGAGAATGAAAATCAAGACTATTTAATGGACAATCATTATTTATATAACCTTTTAAGCTTTTAGATTTAGCAATCTCATTATCTAAGATTCTACTTGTATGGTATGCAGCTGGATGTGATTTGTGTACTTGTTGTGAATCATTACTAATACCACTATTACTATTACTACTACTATTATTATTAGTACTATTACTACTGCCGGTATTATTTTTAATAATTTCATTACATTTACTCCAAGAAAATAGATAAACCTCTCTAATGGTTGGTCTTTTTGATGGATCCGCATCCCAACACCTCTGCATCATTTGCACATAATCATCAGGAATTCCATGTATTATTGGTGGTCGTAAGCCTTCACATATATCAAAAATTAAACAATGATTATGAGGTCTATCATCAAATGGTGGATGACCTGCAAATATTTCCCACATTAACATCCCAAGACTATAAATATCTGTTTCTTTTGTGTTTGAATTAATTTTGCCACCAAGTAGT